GTCTGACCGCCTGGGGGTACATCAACGACTGCTGTCACAAAGTGGCAGTGCTCGCCATGCACGTTTAGATCTTGCACTGGGAACGTGCAGAAGCTGACTTCATGCGGCTGCACGTGCAACTTGCGGCAGATGAAATCAACTGGAGTGAGGCCAGGATTGTCTTGGTTCATGAAGAGGTACCGCAGGGAACGATACATCACACTGACACCCTCTGAAAATTCGACCCGAGGGAACTGCTGCAAAGACCCAAAACGTGAAACATCCTGGAACAGAGTCTCGTACCGTGTTCTGTCGAATCTGGCCTCGAGACTACGTACTACCGTGATCACTTCACCATCATGAAGGTCAACTGCAGCTTGGCTGGGCCACGGATTGGTTCTACATCCAACATAGATGTAGAGGGCATCACCTGCATCGTCTGTGAGAGGCAGGAGAAAGTTGACTAGAGCACTGTAGTCGAGCTGCCTTGGCAGTACTGTGGCAAAGTATCGACCTCCTACTCTAGACACATCGATAATGACAGCGCAGGAGCCATTGAGGCCGCAGTGTCTAATCAAACTGGGAAACCGGATGTATGTCGCGTAACCTGGGTGCCTTTGCGGGAATGTAGGAAGAAGGGTGTCAAATAGCCTGTTATGCGGCAGAGGACAGCGCCTGCGGACAAGGTCTAGTATAGTAGCTTGGTCTAGACCTCCATCGACTTTGACCGCAAATGACACAGTGTGATAATGAGGCGTATACACAGTGACGCCCAGCCACGCGGCGTCTTCTGGTGCAGCACCTTCATCACTCATTGGAGGGGGAGGCCAAGGCAACTGATCAAAACACAGCCTTCTATCCGGGGGAGATGGTTCATGCTCATAATGAGGAGGGAGGGTTGGGTTCCCAACTCCAATTGGCATGCTGATATCTTCAACAGGCTGAACATACGGCATGTGTCGGTTAAGTGCGGCAGTTTCGAGGGCCTCCTGCTCATCAGCTACACCTGACCTAACCATTCCGTTACAGCCTACAGGGCCTAAAACCCAAAGGGAAAGGCCAGCCGGGTGCATTGCAATCCACGCCGGGGAGGCAGGGAAAGAGAAAATTCCGGCAAGGATCTGCGTGATCGTGAGAACTGGGAAACGGGTTCTTCTCCGGCCCTGTGGTGCCCGCTTGTGTTGTGTGCGGCCTTTCCTGTCCCTCCACGGAGTCCAGCAAAGGATGGGGGCAGCACACGTGCCAACCTGTAAAGCCCTGACTACTCTGATCGGTGTTCCAGCAAATGGAGTGATCCGACGATCACCAATGAAGGATCGAGTAGTTTTATGTGCGAAGAAAAGGGTCTTGAGTAGGGCTATAAACAGGAATAAAAGGAGGCTTCGCGCAAGGGGCAAGAGGAAATGCTTCGCAAAATTGTCCAGAAAGTACAACCACGTGACATTGGCACCTGTTGTGGCATCTGGCATGGACCCCTTATGATGGCTGGAGGTCTCGATTGGTGTCGAGAGTGGCTGTAAAGGAAGCACAATTATACTGCAAGGCTCGGCTGTCGCCCCTGAGCTACCGATGCGACTATTTAGCGCCCGAGTCTTGAAAGAATGTAATGTGCAACCAACAAGTACGGCACAAGGAGAGAAGCAGTTGCCCGCAAAACCACGGCAGCCAAATAGGACGGCGCCTTGGTGGTTGCGTGACCTGTGCCATTCCAGACGCGCCTCTGAAGACGCATGTGACCAATGCCACAGGCCTCTGGCAATCACAGAAAGCGAGTGGGAGAGCACTTCGAGACGAGAAATGTAGCAACACAGTGCTGCATGGCGGGGATCACCCAGGCTCAAAATCCAAAACAGAGCACTGGTGATCGAGGACGACAAAATCCATGGCGAGAGAGGCAGGGGTTGCGTGACAGGCACAACGGGAAAGGACAAAACTGTACATAGGATGACAGTCTCCCTATGTACACAACAATCCGCTGTACAGGCTGTCCCCGGCTCAGAGGGTGGCTGGCAATGGACAGCAAAGTCGGCATACGGACAGGTTCTCAACCCAAGGAGCAACTGAAAGCTGTCTGACGGGGTCGAACTCTGTCGCTCAGTCAGAACAGCGATCGGGCTCTCTAGGAGAGAACCAGCCGTGTTACGACTATTGGTCCCATACCAAGCCAGCTCACTTATTACTCCATATTGCCAAAGCCTGGCGAGGGGGGGCCAGTTCCCGCCGTGGATAGCTCTTCTAGATCGTCGTCCAGTAATCCGGTGGGAGTTCTGGTCGTCGAAGGAATTGGCTGTGGCATGGTCGTCTCGGATCCTATCTCCAAGGGTCGAACAGCCTTGGAAGGCAGGCCAAAAGGGGCCGCTGCCAGCCTGGCAGCTTGCCGTTTGGCCTTGAGCTGCTCTGGCAATGGAGACGTCTGAGAAGGTGCCGCATTCCTCTCCACTGTCTGTTCCGGTGGGGCGGCGCTCTTGTCTCCCTCCATCCCCTGCGGGGGCACCGGGAGCCCTCCCGCAGGTGAAGCAACCATGGCCGAAGCAGCTGACCCAAAATGTGCAAGGCTCGGAGAGGACATGTACGGGTCTGTAAAGGGCTGAGTCGGTGTTCCAGCCGTGGACCCGGTAGCAGGGGCAGTCCTTGGTGTTCTCGGAGTCGGTGGAGAAATGATCTCCTTCGGCTGAATTTGCTCCAGTCCAGGAGGGATGCCAGGTGGCGTAAGGGCAGCTGTTGCTTGCATGATACGTGCCAAATCTTGTGCAAGTTCGGCATCGTCCAGGATCTCCACTGGTTCTGCCACATCCATCGGTGTGGAAATCTCTGCTGCAAGCTGTGCCTCTAGGTCCGCGAGGGCGACTTGGCCGGTAGCCTTATGAGATTATTAGCAGGCTACAGCCTATGAAACTGAAAATAATTATTTTGCGGATATTTTGCAAATTGATTGCATATTTTTTGCACGTCGGGTTTGCATATATTTTGCATGTTTTTTTTGTGTTGCAAATCTTTTGCAAATTTATTGCATATTTTTTGCATTTTTTTGCATCACACGGTTCTGAACCTTGGTGCCTTTGGGCCTTGGGGCCTTTGGGTGCTGGGGCCTTGGCAGGACCTGCCCGGCACGCCAAAAATACGCAAAAAATGTGCAAAACACACTGTGTTTTGCATATTTTACGGGCCGTGCCTGGCCCAGCCGGTGGGCCCGGCACGCCAAAAATACGCAAAAAATGTGCAAAACACACTGTGTTTTGCATATTTTACGGGCCGTGCCCTGGCCCAGCCGGTGGGCCCGGCACCCCTAAAATATGCAAAACACAGTGTGTTTTGCACATTTTTTGCATATTTTTGGCGTGCCTGGGCCCTGGGCCCTGGCAGCAGCCTTGCAACACCTGCGTTTAAACACCCAAAATTACACATGCAAAAAAAACGCAAAAAATATGCAAAACGCAATGTGTATTGCATATTTTTGCGGCTGTTTTGCATTTAAACACCCAAAATTACACATGCAAAAAAAACACAAAAAATATGCAAAATATTTGCAAAATATTTGCAAACGAAAAAACACATGCAAAAAATACGCAAACGCGACGCACAAAAAATATGCAATAAATGTGCAAAAATAATTATTTTGGAAACCCCCTTGTGTGGCCCTAATAATCTCATAACGGTAGCCGCACCACCTTGGGCAGTATCTTGCACAGCAGCACATCGTACTTTCATATACGCTGCTGACTGAAGCCGTTTCGCCTCGGAGATTTCTTCGGACAACCTCTTCTGGTCCGCTTCGTGTCGTGCCTTTTCCTTCGCCAGAGATTGCTGCACAGAGGTGACGTACTCGTTCCAACTCTGTGCCCGCTTGAGTGTCTCTGACTGCAGCCTTGCTATCTTGGAGTCCCATCTCCGTGCCACATTGATGGCTGCCTGCACGTCCTTCACTAACCCGCCTGTCGATGCGGCCGGGGCTGTCTTGGTAGTCGCCACTTCCGCGATGCCGGGAGCGTTGTGCCAACCAGCATCGTACGGCGGAAATGGGTTCTTCGCTGATCGGTCTGGCTGTGGCTTGCCCTTCGCCTTGGCCTTGGCCTTGGGTGATCGCCAAGCACCAGGCCACAGCCCATATGCGCGCTCCGACCTTGAGTCCTCTCGCCATGGCGGGTATTGGGGCTCTCCGTAGTAGTGCTTCCCTTTTCCCCGTACCATGCGCCGAAGGGAACTGCTCTGAGCCACGCCGGTGGCGTGGTGCTGTGCCAGGAGCAGACACTGGCGTATACTAGGCCTCTCTCCACGTCGGAGGGCCTGTCGGACCTTTGCTCTGCGCGCCCTCAAGCGACGGTGCCAACCAGGTGAGCCGCGGACAGCTGCTATGATGGCAGAGGGGCAAAGCGGGACGTGTGCTCAGCACACTGGGGCGCAACAGCTATCAGGCGCTCTTGCCTGTCTTCTGGGCCCTATTACCCATAATAAGGAATATACCGTAATTCCCATAGTTTAGGGTCCTTAAGGTAACGCAGGAGGATTTATATCATCAACCCTAAGCCTTAAACCCCCTATAGATCCCTTAAAGGAGCCCTTTAGAGGTACCCTTATAGATCCCTTTTAAAGGAACCGTAGGATTTTTATCATCAACCGTATCCTGAAAGCCTTCAAGCCCCGAAACCCTGGTATGTAAACTCACATTCTTTGGAGACCGTTTTAAACCCCCCCCCCCAAAACCCTAAAGCCATAAATCCCAGTCCCTAAGCCCTTGTAGAAAGCCCTTCAACGCATAAAAAGAGATAACATTGCAAAACCCTAGAGATGCATAGAGACCCTAGACATGCTTCCAGGAACCAGTTTTTCTAGGGCTGGCCCAGGGGCATAAACCTCAAACGCTAAGCCCTAAAGCCCCTTAGTCAGGACTTACTTGCCAATACTGCTGTGGGGGGTTCCTTACTATAAGCATACTATAATGGGCCGCAAAACCCCCTGTTCTCATTATTAAGGCCCTATGACTGTCAACCCAAAACCCCCAAAAACATGAAACCTTCTGCCAGGACTGGCCCATGGCCATTGGCGCCCCACCACCGCGGAGGAACGCCGCAGCCGTGCTCGCCGAGCTGCCACAGGAACAGCAAGGCTTGGGCCTCGAATTTTTCGGGGTTTTCTAGGTTCCTGAGTAGTGCCTTCTTCATTTTCGGATCGCCTCATTAAATCCGAAGCCTTAAACCCTAAACCCTGATACTAAATCCGATTTTTTGAGGAAAAGGGTACCCTTATTTGGTTGGGTTTGAGGAGTTTGGGCCTCGTAGGCTGAGGGTGGGGTCTTGGGAGTTTTGCAAAAGGGGTACTGTAGGCTTACTGCAGGGGTGTTTCTAAGGCATGTATAGCATTAGTATTGTGGGTATGTTTTACAGTGGCATACGAGGTTCAGTCTGGTGCCCCCGGGTCTTTACTAGCATCGAAACGAAAGATCCTGTCGCTGGGGGTCTGTATTAGAGAGCCTTGCTGGGCCGCAGGAATCTGCGTGCAGAGGGTGGCGGTTCATTACTTGCGGTTTGGGTTTCTATAAATGTATCGTAACGGTTCTATGGGGAGTTCCGTGGCTTAGGGTTTAGGGGAGGGTTTAAGGCCAAGTTGGTGCTCGGGCTTGGTTTTCCTATAATTCTTGAACGAATACGAATAATGTCTCACCGTAGTCCCCACCTGTGTATCGTTGTGCACACCTCGAGATCGCATTCTCACCGCATTGTATGTTCGAGTTCTTTAAGGGTTTCTGCTGGGCTTAAAAAGAAAAGGTTTTATGCGGTTCTCCCAGGGTTTCAACACGGCCTAGGCCTAGGGTTCAGAGCTTCATCGAGTGAGTTTTTGGGGTTTTGGGGTTTGCGGTATGGTGTTTTGGTGTTTCGGTGATTACAAGGAATCCTTTCCTCATCTGCATCTGTAGATCTTTGATTTGTCTCGTACATGCCACAAATCCCTCGGTACCTTGCAAGACCAGTGTGAAGAGCCCATGACGGATCAAACTCCTAAGCCTAAGCCCTAAACTCCGACATCCAACCTGAGCATTCTAAAGCTCCCAGGTAGCGCTGTGTCCTACTACCCTCGACCAAGGTGCGACAAGGGTCCGGGTTCAGGGTTTAGGGTTCAGGATTCAGGGTTGATAGTTTATGGGTTCTGGGCTCCTTCATATTTTGTCGTTTTGGTGTTCATGCTTCGTTAAGGGGAACTACAGAAGCCTCAATAACAACCAATACTATTTTGTGGGTTCCTTATTTTATTTATAGTAGCCGAAACCCTGTTCTGGTTAGTAAGGCCCCTACACGATACTACCCTTAGAGTACCCTTATTGAAGAAATGCGGAATTAGGATTGAACCATGCCTTTGCTTGCAAGAAATCCTGTGATGCAAGTTTTTGGTATGTGTGTGCTGCTCCTCAAGGTAAGGCTACGAAGAGTTGACCTTGGGCCATGTTGAGTATGCACGGAAGCTTTAAAAGATCTACAGCCTGTAAGTGCTGTAAACAGTAGCTCAATCTTCACGAATGCTGCAGGCATGTTCGGAGAGAGCTTAACTTTGACAGTGCTTGAAATTCGGAAAAACAGTCTGTGGAGCGCGTCCATGGTTGCGAACAGCCTCAGGCTGCTTTGTCACTTGTGAGCGGCGCTGCTCTACTTCAGGTTATGAGCGCCCAAGCTCAGCCTGCGACTCCGCAAGTCAGTGGTTCGGAAGGAACTGATGGTGTGGCGCGAAGGCCACCAGAGGAGGAAACCGGAGCACGATGCTCAGGTCAGGGGCTTCACCCCGGATCTGAGCTAGTGCAGCCAGAGACGAGTAGTGGAGGAGGCGGTATTGGAGGCGGGGACGTTCATGAAGGGACGGAGACGCTGCCCCAGGCTACTACCTCGACTACAAGATCTCCAGAACCTGGGAGCGGCATGGATCCCATGAGCGAGCAGACTATGATGCAGGGGTCACAGCCCGGAACATATATCGTCGACCAAGTTGGCGCACGTGAGGGAGGACCAGCTGATCAGGCCGTGCCCGTTTTTGGTGAAGCGGCTCTTGGACAATCGGGAGATGAGAGTGCTATGGGGGGGTTTTTGACCCCGAGATCGAGGTTGTCGGCGTCTACGGTGAGAATGGATGCTGGAAGGAACATGGGAAGCAACGGACTCCCTGCATGGATGTCGCGTATAGGCGAGCTCTTTCGAGCTCCCCAGGTGACCTGGCTACCAAGCCCACTGCAGTCTCCGCCAAGACCTAGGCGGATGTTTCAGCAAAGCAGCGTGGATCCTGGAGAACACTCAAGGCTGCTTGGACCAGAGACTGCATCTGCAAGTGTGGGAGGGCCAGTAGGGGGTATGAGACCTAAGGGGGTACTAACTAACCCTAATAATACCACCCCTAGCAGCAGCGACTTGCCTACGGAAGCAATACAAGCAGAAGTACAGAGACAGCTGAGCGCCCTGTTGGACCGTTTGCAGATGGTGGAAGGCGAAAATGCTCGCCTACATGAGCAGCTTCAGAAGGCCCAGACGAAGTCGGTTGTTAGGGAAGAACTACCGGGACCTAGTGATGAAGGGGTTCCAAGAGGGCACGATCATGGACGGTCTCTTCGGGATCCTCCTGTAGCGCATGAAGCCTCTTCAAGTGCATGGCGTGATCCACTTAGTGCTCTATGGGAGGAAGTTACGGCCAGAAGCGCAGCAGCAAGGATGACCGAACCGGCGCCAAGGCTCCAATCGGCAAGTCCTGAGCCGCAGGCCGCAGCAGCAGCGCTTCGAACGGAAGGAGATCATACAGCTGCAATGCTCGAGGCGTTAACCCGGAGTATGACTCAGCTACAGGAGATGCAAGTGAAGTCTATGCAAAAGGGCTTGGATGATGATGCGCCAGAGGCAGTGAAGTCGGCTGTGACGGTGCTCCCTGTGCTGCCTCCTCCTGAAGGGCAAACTTCGGGGATTGTGCTGCAAGACTGGCTAGCGCAGATTGCTATTTCAATGCAGGACCTCTCGCCTTCGTCAGGTCTATGGTGGAGCAAGGTGATGGAGCTGGTTAGAGAAACCTACGCCAAATGGCTTGGCTGCTCTCCTTTGGAGCGCCTGCAGCTACAGCCGGGAAGCAGTGTGACTCTTGCTGAAGGCAAATGGACAAGGGTTAACGCCCGTGCCTGTGCGATGTTGTTACAGAGCTTGGGAGATCAGATCCGTCAAGATTTGATCGCTCGGAGGTTCGTCCAGAATGCGACCCTGATCCTCTTCAGACTTCACACGGCTTACCAACCTGGGGGCGCGTCGGAAAAAACCCTGGTCCTGCAGAGCCTTCAGTCACCAACTGCGAGTGAAAGCCTAGATGAGGTTTTGACATGGATGAGGAGCTGGCCCCGTTGGATCCAGAGATGTGTGGACCTCAATATGTTATGTCCAGACGGAACTGTGTTGGCAAAAACCCTTACCTCTATGACCTCCCGCTTCATTGTAGAGGGAGGGGACTCGCAGTTCAGGACGCAGTTGTTGCGGTCAACACTCCGCATTGATGGACAACCAAGCCTAGAAGACGTCAAACGGTACCACCAGCACCTTCAAGCGGAGCTCGAGGCGATCAGCGCGGCCAGATCTACAGCAACTTCGTCTGCCCCGAGGATCAAGGCCTTGGGAACCGGGACGCAGCAGGCAGGGACGACAGGAACTCCTTCAGGAAAGTCACCTTGCAAATACTTCTATAGACCGGCTGGCTGTCGTCGTGGTCAGAAATGTCCGTATGTGCACGACCTCTCGACCCTCCCCAAGCACGAAAAGGCGCGAAAATGTCTGTCTTGTGGAAGCGAAGAGCATCGCCACAAGGATTGCCCAACAAGGCAAGGGAGAACGTCCCCAAAGTCGGGTCCAGGAGCTCAGCTACCACAGCCTACCACCTCGACTTCAGCGACGACACCTACTACCTCAACCACCCCTAAAGTGCAGCGTCTGGAGCCAGATGGCGAGGCCTCTCCAAGCGGAACCTCATCGGCAGGCGTCGTTACTGGGGAGCCGGTCTGGACTCTGGAAGCATTGCTCCAGGCAGCTGCCAAAGTGGCAGGAGCTGAGGCGGCAACTAGGGGACCATCGCTGAACGTGATCAAGTTGAAGCAGCAGTGTGCGATGAATGGTGTAGACGGAGGGGATCAGATGTATGCGCTGGTGGACTCTGGAGCAACGCATGCGTTGCGGAGGGCTCGATCAGAGGAGGAGTGGCGTGAAGCAGATCCTGTCACAGTGAATCTGGCCGGAGGCCAGTCTATCTTTTTGAAGATGAACAAGGCAGGGACGATTTTGGTGCCCATAACGTCATCTACCACCTTTACCTCAGCAGCTCCTATCGTTCCACTTGGGGCACTTGTGGGGCAGCTGGGTTACACAATGACGTGGAATAGCAACAAGTGCAAGCTGGAGGGCCGTAATGGGGAAACGTTTCAGCTTCGAGTACGGGAAGGCTGTCCAGAGATAACGGAGCGAGACGCCTTGAAGTTGATAGCTCGTTTGGAGGACGACAATTTGGAGGCCTTGAAGAAGAATACCCGGGCTACTCGACAGAGGGTCAAAGCCGCTGCGCTTGCAATGGAAAAAACGTGGTTCGACCACATAATCGCCTATGTGGACGGTGAGGTCACAAGTGAAGCTTTGAAGGCAGTCGAGGCAGCACCCTTTTTCCAAGAAGTTCCCCGCGAATGCTTGGTCGGACTCACAGAGCCGGTGCCAGAAGCCAATGGCTGGGAAGCTCTTCGGGGACTACAACATCTGAACCGGAGAGCGCGGAAGAAGTTGTGGTCGTCAAAGAAATGGCTGGTTCATCTTTTTGCAGGAGAGCGTGAGCGGCAAGATCTACGGCATCTTGAAGGCCATGGATATGCGGTGCTAGAACTGGATATTACCCGGGGACGCACTCAAGATGTCCTTCGGCCGTCGGTGTGGAGAGTGCTGGAGTACGCTGCAAGAAAGGGCAAGATCGCCGGCATTATTGGCGGTCCTCCTCAAGGAACGTTTATGATTTCAAGACACGTGATTGGAGGCCCAGAACCGCTACGCAGCAATGAGTGTCCTTTTGGAAATTGGCTGGGGCAGTCTGACAATGACGTCTATGAGGTGAACCGGGAGACCAAGTTGCTCGTCAGGATGCTGTATCTCCATGCGCTTGCAACCGCTGGAAGGCTTCGGTCAAATGTGGAGCCAGATTCTTCGAAGGAGGTTGCTTTCATGTTGGAGCATCCAAGGGATCCCAGGGGTTACTTGAAGTTTGGAGATCCTCTTTATCCAGATGTGGTGAGCTTTTGGCGAACCTCGTTGTGGTCTGAGTATGCGCTGGAAGCTGGGCTCAACTCGTATAACTTCGATATGGCTGCTTTTGGCAAGGAGTATACGAGACACACCACGCTTGGAACCAACCTGGAACTACGTCACCTAGACGGACTTCGAAGGAGATATTATTCAGATGGACCGGTTCCTGAGCGAGCTCCAGCGTGTGTGTGGCCTACCGAGTTCTACGAGCATGTCGTGATAGCCTTACGAAGCTGGGGAAGAGTTCCAAGAATGCTACGTATGAGTGCTGAGCAGTGGAGAGAACATGTTCGACGAGGGCACTTACCCTATCGAGCTGATTGTACGGTTTGCGTCCAAGCCGGGGGAACGGGCAGAAGGCACTCGAGAGTGGAGCATCCATCTGCGTTCGTTCTCTCTGCTGACCTGTCAGGACCAGTCAAGGTTGGAGGCTCCGATCCAGACGCGCGTGGAGCATTCCCGAAGTCCTTCAAGTACATCTTTGTTGCAAAGCTCCGTCTCCCTAAAACCTTCGTCGATGATGGAAGGGGTGCATGGGTTGACTACGATGAGGGTGAGCTGAGCAAGGAGGAGTACGAGGATAAGGATGATGGCTTAGCGTCGGAAGGGGCTTCTCCAGGTAGCGAAGAAATCATCGAGGTTGTTTAGCTGGAGCTGATGAAGAAGGTGATCCTCCTGAACCTGAGTTGGGAGGAAAGCGCGATCCGGATGAAGACCTCGACCTCGCCGCCCCGGAGATGGTCAACCTTATTTTTGCTACGGGTCTTCGTGATGAAAAGGCGGCATCAGTGTTGGAGGCGGTCCAGGATGTGGTTCTCTACTGTCAGTCGTTGAATATTCCGGTTCTCCGCTTCCACACGGACCGAGGCATGGAATTCCAGGCTCGAGCTACGAAGCAGTGGCTGAAGAGCCAAGGGCTCAGAGTTACAACCTCGGAAGCTGGAGTTCACCAAACAAATGGAGCTGCAGAATCAACTGTGCGGTGGGTCAAGCAGAGAGCGAGGGCATTGCTTTTGTCTTCGGGACTACCTCAACATCTATGGCCCACGGCAGTGACTACGGCATCTACTATGCAGCGAGCAGATGTGCTGGGTTTTGAGCCGATGCTTGCAGCTCCCTACGGCGCTAAGGTGATGGTGCGAAAAAGGCAATTGGAAGGGCCTAAGCTTGACGACTTGGCTCCGAGGTGGACTCAAGGAGTTTACGTGGGACTTTCTGAGAGCTTGAGCAAGGGTCATTTGGTTTTCATTGCCAATGATGAGGGTGAGAAGTTTGTACACACTCTACATGTGCGAGCCGGTCTTCGCGATCCAGGTCCAATCGACGAAAGGTTTCATGCAGAAGAGCCGGGTCCACCAGAACGTAGAGTTCGTGGAAAAGCAGCAGGGTCTGGAGATGTGGTTGCGGTTTCCAAGGCGACAGTGTTTGAGGACGAAGGGCTCCGGAAGTGGGCAGAGGCAGTCCTTGAGGAATGGTCGCAGGAGGAGGCAGAGGCCATTGTGATCCAGGCGGGGAAGTATTTGACTTCCACGGAGAACAACTATGGCATGTTCCGTTTCGGAGGAAAAGTGGGTGTGACAAAGGCAACAATTGAGAGGCCGTGGTTAGCAAAGATAGTGCTGGGGCTCTTGAAGGACAAGGCGCCGGATGCTGAGTTTGCCTCGGTTTTCATCTCTGTCAACAACGAGCGCGAGGTGCATATTGACAGAAATAATGCAATGGGGACATTAAACTATTTGCTGCCGATTGTCATGCCTAAACGTGGAGGTGAAATCTGGCAAGAGCTCCGAAACGGGGATGTGGTTTCAGGAAGAGTTTTGGAGCTTCAATCTCGTGAGGGCAGAGTGCGCTATGGTTGCTCATATCCACTTCAGGAGGGTCAAGTTTTCTACCTGAATCCTCACCGCCGTCATGCAGTCCTTCCATGGAAAGGGGAGCGGCTTGTTCTTGTAGGCTACACCCCAGGAGTTCTGCAAAATCTTCCGCGTCCTGACCGAGAACTTTTGTGGGAGCTGGGTTTCCCTATGCCCTTAAGTGAAGAAGATTCTCATGCGGAGATATACATCAACATGTTGTCGGTCGAGGAAGCTGTTGAAAATGAGGCGGTGACCAAGGATCTGGTTGTAGAGGACAAAGCCGAGGACAAGGGTGCGAGCCTCGAGGAGCAGAAGGGCAGTTCGCATTCATTGCAAGATCCTGCAAGCCTTAGTGAAGTGATCTGTGAAGATTGGCTTGCATGGGAGATGCAGCTAGTGCTGGATGAGAAAGCTCAAAGTGCTGTTCAAGTAGCCACGGAAACGCAGTATGATGCTCAAATATCCAAGGCTGAAGTCGGCTATACTGAGAATGTGGAGGTCTTGTTGGAGTCCCTAGATAGCCCGCTGAGCATTGTGCACACTGTGAGTCCGAGTGAGGTGGCCCAGCATTTTGACCGATGGACTTCGTCTTTGCAAAAGGAGGTTAGCTCTCTAGCGCATGCTGTTGATCGTGTGAGCAGAGATGATCCAGAAGTTCGTCGAGATGTTGATTCTGGAAAGGGGCAGGTGTTACCAATGAAAGTCGTTTACACCGTCAAGCCTCCTGATCCTCCGCCTGAAGGAGAGCCGCATCAGGTGTGGTTTAAGCGGAAGTCCAGGATCGTTATTTGCGGGAACTTTGCAGCGCATCAAGCTGGAGAAGTGTACACAAACACTGCTCCCGCTGAGGTAGTCAGAGCTGCTATAGCATTGGCTCGGTTCTTCAATTGGGACCTGGGGATGATAGACGTCGTGGCAGCCTTCTTGCAGACCCCGTTGAAGGCGCTGGCAGGGGCGCCGCTCGTCTACGGCATTCCGCCCAAGGCGCTGATCAAGGCTGGCTTGTGTCGTCCAGATGAGCTGTGGAGACTAACCCATGCGGTTTATGGGTTGCAAGAATCGCCGAAGTTGTGGGGATCGTACAGAGACTTGAGGTTAGCACAAGTGCAGCTCATCTTTGAGGGCAAGCGAATTACATTGCTTCAAGGTACAGTTGAGCCATCATGGTGGTCAGTGCTACAGGAAGGATCTCTTCTAATCGGCATCGTCGTTGTGTATGTAGACGACCTGTTGATTTGTGGTCACGCAGCCATCATCAAGGAGCTGGCGAAGGCGATCAGGGAGATCTGGAAGACCAGTGATCTGCAGCTGATTTCTGATGGACCTCTAAGGTTCTTGGGGATAGAAATATCAATGTGCACCCAGGGATATGCTCTTTCGCAGAAGTCTTATATAGAAGAGCTGATCCGCTTGCACGGCATCCCCGCAAATCGCAAAGATGTGATCCCGCTCTCCAAAGACATGGCGGTGTTTGCAGTCAACGAGGAGGAGAGTGTCTATTCCGAGGGTGAATTGAAAGCTGCCCAGCAGTGGGCAGGGGAGCTGTTGTGGATATCCCAGCGTACGCGACCGGATGTGGCGTTTACAGCATCGCTGGTTGGGTCATTGGCTACTCGAGCACCCAGGCGGGCGGCACAGATCGGAGAGAAGGTCTTGGCGTTCCTACAAAGGACCATCAACTTGTCCTTGATCTATGGAAGTGATGGGTCAGGCCTGGCAGTCTACTGTGATGCAAGTTTTGCACCAGAGGGTGGAAGGAGCCATACTGGTTGGTTGGTCCAGCTTCATGGGTGCACCATTGCTTGGCGTTCATGTCGACAATCAACAGTGACTTTGAGCACAGCCGAATCAGAGTTGATGGCTATGTCGGAAGCTATCTTAGCGCTTCAAAGTGTGGACTCGATGCTTCAGGACGTGAGTGTTCCGGAAAGGCCGCATCAGTTGTTTTCAGACTCCACTTCGGCATTGGCAATTGCAAATGGGTCAGGGAGTTGGAGAACGAGACACTTGAGATTGCGAAGTGCATGGGTGTTGGAGTTGATCAACGGCAATTCTATTGTTGTTCAGCACTGCAATGGTGAGTTCCAGCCAGCTGATTTGCTGACGAAGGCTCTGGCTTCTCAGAGGATTCGCTCGTTGAGCCGCCTGATCAGTCTTCGTGGACCTCATGAAGATGACGACGATCAGGAGCTGTCCAGTAGAGTAAATCAAGCACAAGCAAGCGGCAGCAGCAGAGCAGCAGCCCCTAATCAGGTTCCCAAAGGTCTCATAGCTCTTCTGGTTCTTTCACAAGCTATCCTGGGAGAAGCTTATAGCTGGGATGAAGAAGAAGCTCTGATTGTAAAGACTGGTTTGGCAGTAGACTATGGAATGGTTACATGGGCGTTGCTTTGGACTGCAGTTATTCTGTTTTTGCTGGCGTGGGAGCTTCTGAAGTGGCTAATGTGGTTGGCTTATGATCGAGCAACACCCGGGGCCAGATCGAGAAGAGTAAGAAGGCTTCAGAAGTTGCGCGATGCGACAACCTCTGCAATTCAGCGAGAGCTGGAAGTTCGCGCAGGTCACCGAGCTGAGCAGAGAGCCCAGGACTCGCAAAGGCAACCGACAACTCAGCTACCCAATCCACCGAGAACAGCCGAAAGAGCAGCTTCCTCGACTACTATCCCGCAAAGGACTGCAGAAAGGCCATCTTCTACCACAGGAGATCAACAGGCTGAGGAGAGGCTGGAGCTGTTGAGACGTCTTGCGCAAGGAGTTAAGGAGACGAGTGAGTCGGCTTCACAGACTAGCGAAGTTTTTCAGCGGATTGTGGCTCCAGAGACAAGGGTTATTTTACGCTACGTACATGAACCACCTGCGGAAGCGTTTGTGGTGCCGAACAATGATTGCTTTCATGTCTATGGAGACTGCCATGCCTTCAGGCACCCAGGCACAGCAGAAAGGGTGCAGCGAAAGAGGATTTGCAACTACTGCCTGAACAGAGCCGAGGATGACCCAGACAAGAGGGTCAACTATGCTGATGATCTGGAAAGGGCTCGAGAGTACGAGCGTGTGTTCAATACGCAGCTGTTGCGGTCCGGCCAAAGCTCTAGAGGATGACTGGACCTAACGGTACAGTCAAGGAGGAGTGAAGAAATGCGGAATTAGGATTGAACCATGCCTTTGCTTGCAAGAAATCCTGTGATGCAAGTTTTTGGTATGTGTGTGCTGCTCCTCAAGGTAAGGCTACGAAGAGTTGACCTTGGGCCATGTTGAGTATGCACGGAAGCTTTAAAAGATCTACAGCCTGTAAGTGCTGTAAACAGTAGCTCAATCTTCACGAATGCTGCAGGCATGTTCGGAGAGAGCTTAACTTTGACAGTGCTTGAAATTCGGAAAAACAGTCTGTGGAGCGCGTCCATGGTTGCGAACAGCCTCAGGCTGCTTTGTCACTTGTGAGCGGCGCTGCTCTACTTCACTTATAGTAACCCTTAAAGCACCCCTGTAAAGGGAACCCTTATTCTAATTCTTAAGGCCCCCCAAAGTAAGTGGCTTTTTCAGTGTTGTTGCGGAAGATCCCCAGTCCATGGCACGCTATTTCTGTGCCTCATCGCGATCCATGTAGAACCCTGGTAGCCCGTATTGGTGGTTGCCAAAATTAAGGTACCCTAAACATAAGGTGCCGTATTATGAGAAGGACCCAGAAAGAGACCCTCATATTGACAGCCACCCTCATATGCAGCAACCCAACCCTTTAGGGCCTTTGGGGGTTTTAGGGTTTAGGGTTTATGGGCTTAGGGTTGTTGGTTGTAGGGTCTTGGGTAAATACAGTAACCCCAAACCCTACACCCTATAAGGGTACCTATCATAGGGCTCCTTCAAGGCTAAGGTACTTCAACCGGGCTCCTTTGCTAGTTTCCTGTAGTACCCTTCTGCCCTTTTTTGGGGGGTCCCCCTGTTAAATCCGAATAGTAGGAAGAAAAGGGTACCCTTATTATCAAGGGGCTACTGAGAAACCTAGGACAGGAGCCCTTACAGTAACCCTTGTACTGGCAGACTCCTTGTCCTATCCCTTACAGTAAACTTCTCCCCAGGAAAAGGTACCCACTTCACGGCTAGGTTCTGATGCTTGCTTTAAACAGCTGCGTGAGGTCCAGGAGGTGTGCATCGTTTCTGTTTTCTGGGGGCCCGGGGTAGGACCAAAACACCCACCACAAGTGGCAAACGCAACACCTCGAAGTAAAGCCAAACCGCCCTGGGCGCCGAGGGTGAGAATACTACTACCCCTGAAGAAACGCAACCCGACACCCCAAACTCCAAGCCCTAAGCTGGTAAACTGCAAACCCGTGCGCCAAAGCTCGACTTCCTGAACGAAGGAAATTGAACCCATGTCAAGCTCTGTACAACGCGGATCAACCTCAATCCCTCTACTCTGAAGGAGCGAGATCTGAAGACTGTCCCTCACCTACTATAGGGACCTTAGTAATTACCAATCCTATTTTAGGGCTTCCTTATAAATATTGTTATAGTATAATGGCCCCAAGACCCTATTCTAATTCTTAAGGCCCCTATTCTATACATGCTTATAGATCCCCTATAAACCAGCCCTTTATGGATCCCTTTAGAGGGACCCTATTCTAGTTATTAAGGCCCCTCTCCTACTGTCTAAGGGGAAAAGGAGGGACCCTTAATAAGGACCCCTAGGTATATACCCTTCATATAGCTATTATATACCCATTTTATAACCCCATTATAGGGTAGGGGTCCCCATTAAGGGTCCCTCCTTTTCCCCTTTGATACTGTTTTCTTGCCAGGGGCAGGCCGCGGAGCCGCAGCAAGTCGCGGCAGCGCGCCGCCGCTGCGAACGCCGCGGAGGTGGACGCTGTCGCTGTGTTTTCAGGCGGTCGTTTAGGGTTTTTGGGGGTTTCCGAAAATTAGGGGTACCTTATTTTGGGGGTCCTTATAATATCTTATAATGAGGATCCTACTATTTAGGGTACTATATTAGGAAACTCCCACATACTGCAAAGGGCGGTTGATAGTTATCGGGCTCAGGTCGTAGAGCTTCGAGTTTGGGGGACCAGGACCTAGAGCAGAGGGTTACTTGGAGGTTCATGAGAAGTTATAAGGGTTCCTTTAAGGGTCCCTCTAAAGGGATCTATAGGGATTCTATAAGGGTACAGGGTTTAGGGTTACTTGAAGGTTCATGAGTATTGAAAAAATTGGGTTACAAGTCCCCTAATAGGGGTTATAACAATAGTTACCCTAATTATAGCCCCACTTATAATTGCCCATGAACCTCCAAGTAGGTGTTGGATTACTCTCGAGGACCCGACCCAGCGTACGTCAAAGGTTTACAGTAGAAGCCAGGAAGTTGGAATATCATTATCATACTCCCTTTAAGGTAAACTATAGGGTATCCTACCATGAAACCATATTCCAACTTTCTGGAGTTCCCTTTAGGTCGCTGAGCAGCAGCAAGGTTCGGCTTCGGTTTAGCACCGTTAAAGGTTCCAGGCCACAGGGTGCCAGGTTTCGATTCAAGTGATGGGGGAGTTTCCAAAAATATGGGGACCCTATTGTAGTACCCTAATATAGTAATAATATAGTAGGCTCTTTCTTCTAAGGACCCCAAGATAAGCGTTTCGATTCAATTTTGTTTTGAGTTATGGGGGCGTCGGCCTGATGGTTGGTCATTACTGGGTCGGGGCTGACGGAGATTATTCTATGTAGTTGTGCTCATGCTGTGATGCTTCTTGTCTCTGCATCCCCACTGCTACTGGTATTGCGAGTAGTGCTACCAAAATCTTGTAGACATGATTGCTGCCAAATTCATGATCACTGCGAGGCATCGGGTGTAGTTGTTTGGATTTCGGTTGGAGTTTGCTCGGAAGATCAGGGGAATAAGTCGATGTCTTGTGCTTGTAATTGTAGCTGTAGCTGCCATAGGACTTACTGGGCCCTTTGTATAGCTCTTCTTCTCCTGCTGACTAAACTCGAAACCCGTAAACCCTAAACCCTAAACAGTCCCTAAACCCTAAACCCCTAAACCTCAAAGCCTCAAACCCTTAAAAAGCTCGAAAGCGTACTTCAAGGAGCTGGGTAGTTGGGTTTGCGGCTATAAGGATTTAGAAAGCGATCCCAAAAACCGTGCAGTCGCAAGATTCGCAAAATCCTGCTCGTAGAGCCTTGAGAGTTTACTTGAAGGCTCATGGGACTTAGTAAGTAAGGTTATAAGTAGGTTATAATTAGGGTAACCCCACTTAGGGGACTTATAACCCCAATTATAACCTACTTACTAAGTCCCATGATCCTCTAAGTAGGGTTTAGGATGGTTCAGGGTTTCGGGGCGAGGGTTGGGGCTTTAGGGTTTAGGGTGCAGGGTTGAGGGTTTAGGGTTGGGGGGTTTAGGGTTGGGGGTTTAGGGTTAAGGGTTTAGGATGGTTTACGGTTCCTTAGTTTCTGTTGATCAAGGTCGCAATCGCAATATATCTAGCCGCCTACCTTTGCAGCTACCTATCGGTCTATTTCTGTACAAACATACATGCCTACCCCCTTACCACCTACCTACAAACCTACCTGCCTGGTACTTGATTGCCCAACTACCGATGGACCGACCTACCGACCTGCCTACCAACGCACCTACCTTCCACCGACCTACCGACATGCCTGCTCATCTACATGGGGGTTTCCGAAAACAGTGGTGTCCGTATAGTAAGGATCCTACTATTTACGGTACTATATTAGGGTCCCCTATTTTCGGAAACTCCCACATACATGCAAATACGCATACTGCATGCGCATGGTACGCTAATGGTTGAGAACAGCGTGTTACGATCAAGCCGGAACTGACTGCCTCTTCCCAGCAGGACACATGCACCGCGGCCACCCCAAAGTGGCCTTGGCCGTCGTGGCAGTGAAAAAAGGAGTTAGGGCTCCTGAGTTGTGAGGTTTGTTCATGTGTTTAGGGTCTAGGGTTTGGGGGGAGATTCATCGTTTGGGATGTGCAGAAGTAGGCTTGCTTAGGCCTGAACCTCCTACTACATGAGGGTAGAGAAGGTTTCGTTTCGGGGTACTATAAGCGTTCGCCATAAGGGTGTGTAATTACTACAATTCATATGGGTACTGTTTCATGTAGTCAAAGGCTTGTGAACAGTTGTGTTCTTCTTACGAACTTAAGTTTAAGTTCGAGTTCACACGGGCTCCATTAGCCGCGTGTGAAGTTATAGGCTTTTTGCAGGGGTGTTGTGGGGAGCTTCTGTTACATTGGCACAGTAAAGTTACATGGTACCTATAGTCTCCATTGTAGTTCCTTTTTTGGGTTACCTTATAGGATCCTTAATATATAATTGGTTAAACCAAAAAAAAGGAACTACAATGGAGACTATAGGTAACTCAGTTCAGTAATTAGGGCCTCGAAACTGCCAAGGCTTAAATCTAAGCCCAAATCCTAAATCCCCAACTCCAAACCCCTAAGCTCGCCAAGGGCGCGAGGAAGAGCTTCGCAAGCTGATCAAGGCCTTGTTCAGGGTTAGTCGTTCCCTTGATTTTGGGAAAGGACTGCGTAGAGTTCTCTAGCGGTTTAGGGCTTGAAGGCGTGGGCGCTAAAGCATAGTCAGTAGTCAGTATTGCAATCCCTTACAGTAGCCCCCTATGGTACCCGTAATGGGATAATGATTAGGGCTGTAAGCAGTAGGCTTGTGCGGTTTAGCGTTCCGCTCTTTCGTTTCATAGATCATTGTCACGCACACAAGAGGAAAGTTCATCTCAGATGTTTGAGGTTGCGAACCCCTGATTCGACTGCCTAGAGGAGAGGGGCATGTTGCCCGGAATGATCGTTGGGCCACGCGAAATGTGTGTGTTTCGGCTGTTGGGGTGTTGTAGCCCTAGCTTTTGAGCTCAGTGAACAGCCGTAGCTCTAAACTTTTGAACCCCAGGTCCGAGACCCTTTCGTGAGATTCTTCGTTAGACAAGCTGGCCCAAGCCTTGTGGGCTTTTTTGGTGTAAACCTGTGGGAGAGATGTTTTTATCTTTCTGGTATAGAACATAGGTTTAGGATTTAGGGTTTAAGGTTTGATGAAGGATCCGGCTGCCTGGGCTCTATATCATGCTACCCGAAG